CGTAGAACTGTATAATTGTTTTGTTAATCAAGATATCTCAAAGAAATCCGCATAGACTATATAAATCATGCTGCAAAATCTTGCCAAGATCCTACTACTATATTATATAGCTCTATGGGAGGAATCGTTCAATTGGTCCCACATTTTCCCAGCAAGCTCAGCTTTAACGAGCTTCACTATGCTCTCATACAAGTGTATTAAATCTTCGGTGTGCCAAAGTTACTCTTCCTGCTTGCTAAACAATATGTGCGACTTATGATGGCGGCAATTGGAATATGTCTGCAAGGGTATTTCTGCTTTCGCATGTTAATGAAAAGTCCTGCTTTCATGTATTTTTTGTTCGTATTTATGCAAATGAAATCAATGCTTGTTGATGTGCGTGTGTGTGTGTGTGTGTGTGTGTGTGTGTGTCAAAAGAATAGAATTTTTCATTTTAAATTACATGCCGTGAGTGTATGCGTGCGTGCTTGTGTGTGTGTGTGTGTGTGTGTGTGTGTGTGTCTGGGTGTGTGCATAAAGAAAACTTTTGTTCGTTTATATTGTTGAAGAACTTCGCATGGCGTCTATTGCCAGCAGGTCGCCTCCTCCTCCCAACCCAGCAGTGCCCCAGCTCTGCCCCCATCAGCCTTTTTTCTAGTGAAAAGCCCAAACCCTCAATCCTAATTTTCAACTCTAAACAGTGCTAGCTCTTCGGTTACGGAGTAAAACGCTGTCGAACCACATTAAAGGTAACTATGCAAATATTTTTGCGGCTCACACGAACAAACACCGAACCTTTTTATGGACCACACACACGCACACGCACATATTGGCAGTTGTTTGCGGCCTTTGAGTGGAGCGCTTAACATATAGTTGGCTACCAAAAATATTTCATGCTGGTCAATAGCAAAACTACTCGACACAAAGCGAACTGGCGTACAATGCGCATGCCTTTTCCCTTTCCCAATGCCATGACAAAGTAACGCGTTCTGCTGTAACCCGTTCTAATTGTGTGCGTTTCGTGTACGCAATTTAGTTTTTGGCAATCACTTAGCTTATTTTGCTCTACAAACGCACACACACACACACACACGCACACACACTCGCACACTCGTAGATTTTTGGCTATGTGCGGAATGTCTAATGAAGCCACATAAATCAAGTGGCTGCTAACCAAGGCAAAAGGCAATGCAGCTAACGCAGAACCATTTGCCCCTTTTTACCTCTGTCCAAGTTGACCAAATCTCCCATTCCCGCCGTCTCTCTCTCCCTTCGAGCTAGCTTGACCAACCCCTCTTCTGTCCAGGCCTGGAAGCCGTAGTTCTCGCACAGCTTCTAGCTTTGTTGTCGCCGTGCTAATTGAAATTAAAAACGTTGCCAAGAAAAATAACATGCAGGCCTCGAGTCGGGAGTGCACGACTAACAGATACCCAGCAAACTAGCTGCTTTCCTTAAATATATACACACACACACACACACACATACGCAAACGAAGCTCCACATCTTGTTTAGGGAAATGCTTCCTAAGCCAAGTTTTGGGCACCTAGCTCGACGAATGCCAAAAAAAAAATCCAAGGCTAACAATCGATTGATATCGATATCGAAATCGATATCGATAAAAACTAATACATTTTCTCTGCGTTTGATACACGAGCATATAAATTTCGAGCAACAAGCAATGAGCCTTGGAAAGACCGATAGATGGACAGACGAACCTGGCTATGTCGACTTCCCGTTCTGATCATGTATGTATGTATATATATATAAATATATATGCATTATGAAGTCTGGGATGCTGCCCTTTGTCGGACAGCAACAATATACCCTTTTTAACCATATTGAATGGGCTTAGGGTATGCAAATGTAGTCGCAATTTCTACGCATTGGCTCAGTTTTCATTTTTGATTGCCGTTTAAGGTTGCTGCTTCTTCAACTCTTCTCGCTTCTGCTTCTTCCTCTTCTTCATCTTTTTCTGCTTTCCAGTGCCAATTAGTGTGAATTTCGTGCCTGATTTATGTTATCTGCGCTAATGCAATGCCATGGCATTAATAAGTAGCCAACATTTTGAACTCAATTTCTTGCCTCTCAATCGGAAAAGGGGGCGCTCAGCTTGGGTTAACTTAAGGCCTTGATTTGCCATTTGAGAGCTATTTTTTTTTTTTACAAATTTGGTGGATTTTTTGCATTGCAACATGTATTTATCTCAGTCAACTCTTTAAGCCAAACTCTCGAACTTATAAGAGTTTAATTTCTTATGGTATATGCAGACTCTCTCGTTTGTTTTGTTCGATTTTCAGACATACTTTTTTGAGCATTACTCATAATTTATTAGAGCAATAATATATCGTACATGTATTTAAGGAACTAAAGTAATTAACGTTTCCTTCGATTTTGAGCCAGAGATAATTTGATATAGATCGGACTCTAAGCGCCGAAGCAGTGTTTGAATGCTTGTTTATTTAATTACCTGAGCTCGGTTCGATCTGTCGATCTAACTTTCACTCCTTTCAAGCTGTATATATATATATATAAATATATATATATATATGTATTATATATTATTCGCATATACGATCTAGTTCATATATCAAACTTCTTTTGGCACACGCACACGAATAAAACGCCGATATTGTGTATATCCTTTATTTGTATTTGAATTATTTATTTCTTGTAATATTATTTAAAAAAAAAAAGACAATGATCACATAAAATATTTTATAAATTACAGAATTCTTGTTATACAATACATATTACATATATGTATAATTATTATATAATATTTTGTTTTATTTATAATCGTATATTTATAATTATAGGTTTTTAGTTATTCCTTTTTTTTCTTATGTTTGCTTTTTTATTTTTATTTTTTGTATTTTATTTGTTTTTAATACAATGATTTTTAAGCCTGCTATTTTTTTTGTTTTGTGTTTTGTTTTAAAATTCGTCTAAATTTCCTTGCGGTTTTTTGTTGTTGGTATTTTTTTTGGTATATTTTAAATATTCATTTGTTTATTGTTTATATTTAGTTATACATATTTATAAGTACGTAATACAATACAAAAAAAAAGTCAACTACTTTTACTTAATTTTAACACCTCATTTTTTTTCTCAAATGTATTGCACTGAACTTCTTTTTATTTATTTTTAATATATATTTATATTTATGTTCTTCTGCCTGTTTTTTTATTTTTTTGTTTTTTACTAAATTTTTCATATATTTTGCTTAGTTGTTGCATTTTGCGCCCATTTCTGTTTGATATCGAGTACAGTTTAATTATTAATTTTAACATTAAAACTTACGAGCCTAAATATATATATGAAAGTATATATATATATATAGTAGGTGAGGAAGTGTTCCTTTGTCTGTGTGCGAGTGTGTGTGAGTGTGTGTTTCGAGTAGAGCGTGTGTGTGTGTTCTGTGTGTTCTGTTTTTTTTTTCTTTTTCTACTTGCGTACTTAGTATTTATAGTTGAGTATATTATATACTGAAATGGGACGCGATTTGCCCATGGATTACGTTCTAGAATTTAAGATTAAAAAAAAAAATCTGTGTTTATTTTTTATTTTGTTTTCCTCTCTATAGTTTACTGTTGATTATATTTGCATATTTATCTTCGTTTGGTGTTAGAACTTTTCGTACAACTAACTAAAGTTATGCTCAAGTATGTTACTTAGCTTCTTTATTTATTTATTATTTGTTTTTTTTTTTTTTCATTCATTTTTCTTCTTTTTGTTCTTGTTCTTGTTTAAGTTGCAAACTTGTCATACAAAATTGACCAGACACGAACACCAAACAAATGTCCTACTATATTTAACTGCTAGTTAGTATTAAATACAGATACAGATACAGTTACTATATATAAAAAAAAAAAAAAAAAACAAATACAACTAAAAGCGCACATTTATTTAGTTGTAGTTTTAATTATTTTATTTTTATGCTAGTATATTTTTATACAATTTATCAACACGACAAGCGCCTAGGACCTAAACGTGAAACAGCTCAATCTACGCTAAGGACATAATGTTCTTGACATTTTCAACATACATATCTGTGTATCTATTTATATATATATCATTTACCTTATATACGATCTCATACGGCATTCTTATTGCACAGGAATGTGTTGGGCTTGAGAAAACCAAAAAGTTTCGATGCACTCAATCCCCAGAAAGTTAAGTTTCAATTGACTCGAGTCGAATCAATTAGCAACAGCTAAGTCAGGAGCATAACTGAATACTGATGGTATTAAAATATATATATATATATATATATATATATGGATTTTTGATAGGTAACGCGGAGGATTCTTAACTCCTAAGGATTCATAGGCTATGATTCAGAAGTTTTGAATTATAATTCGTTACTTCACACAATAATAGATTCCTAAGGCAGAGTTTTCTTAAGTTATGCCTCGGCAGTCATGACTCGTTATATTTAACTCATGATTCATGTAACATTGCTCTTCAATATTCATAACTGATCATATATGAGTCGTCATAACTCATAAGTCATCCATTGGAAATCATGATACTTAATGCACTCCATGATTCATTAGTCAAATATAAAGATTGTTCAACTTTGATCTATGGATCAATTAAGGATGCATGTAATTTCCACTTTTCCGATCCGTAACCCATAGCTCGTGATCTATGTATATCATATCTCATATTTCTTAAGCAATTTATGATTCATCGCTCAAAACTGCTGAATTCTTTAATTAACGTTTCATATTGAATAGCTCTAAATCATAGTTTATGTCTCACAACTCATGATTTATAATCGATGATTCAAATTCCATTCATTCTCATTGATCTATGATCTATATTTCGCAACTCCCAAATCCTATGCCTATGAATCATAACTCGCATATCTCTATCATCATTCCAATGCCAAGCTCAAAGTGCGGAGCTAATGAGTCATAACTTATATGTTCTAAATGATGATTCATAACTCAACTCCAATGATTCGTTGCATGCATTTTAACCCATAACTCAATAACTGCTTGTATTGCACCGATTTCGTCATTCATTGATGATTCATTCTTATGATCAGCGCTTATATATACACAAACACACACACACATATACTAACCAGGGACGGCGGCGCCTTAAATGGGCGTGGGCATTAGCTTGCCATAGTCCTGGTGCATAGTCGGCTTGACCGAGTTGTAGACGGGCCGGCCGCCATCATCGGGCAGGGCGTACACATCGGGCGGCACGCAGAGCGACTGCAGCTTCGAGATGTATGAGTCGAAATGCTCGTGCGGATGCGCATGCGGATGCCCATGCGGATAACCGCCCGGATGATGAACCGTATAGGCGTGGTGTGGCGCATGTGGCGGCGGCGGCGGTGGCGGCGCACCGGCTGTGGCGCCACCACCCAAACTGCCCTGATGGCCATGGTACATCGGTGTCCCAACTGCGGTGCCCGACGTTGCCGGCGGCGGTGGCGGCGGCGGTGGTGGCGGCAACAGTGTGGAATATGCAGCAGCCGCTGCCGTATGATGCTCACCGCCACCCAGCTGAACGCCAGCGGCACAACCATTATCCATGCCGGCCTGTAGACCAGCAGTGCCCGGCACCGCTCCCGCTGGCGGCAACGGTGGCGGCGGCGGCGGTGGCAGACGCACATGCTCCAGCAGCGTGATAACGTTGTTGCGCAAACTCTCATAGTAGTTGTTCAGATTGGCATTGGGTGGTCCGCCGCTGCCGTCTGTCACATGGGACATGTGGCCGCTGCTCGGCAGAAGATCGACGCCGCTGCTGCTGGTGGTGGATGAGACGCCGGCAAACGGCGACTGGCCGCTGGGCGAGGCCAACGATGATGCAGTGGGTCGTTGATGTTGCTGTTGCTGTTGTTGCTGCTGTTGTTGCTGCTGCTGCTGTTGCTGATGTGCGCTCAGTGGAGAAGCCTCCTGTGAATATGCGGAAGAGCGAAAGAGAGAGAGTGAGAGAGAGAGAGAAAGAGACGCAATGGATTTGCATTAGTGTTTGGTCATTGGCTGTCGCATTGGTTGAGTCTGTGTGTGTGTGTGTGTTTGTGTGTGTGTCAAAAGTATGTGTACCGCAATTGGATTCAATGATTCATTGATTCGTTTTGTCATTGCCAATTGCTCAAATTCAATTTGCTGAGGTGCTCAGGCGCCATTTGCTGTTGCTATATAATACACACACACACACACATACGCACACACACATGTATGTGCATGCATGTGTGTGCGCGCGCCCAAATTGAAATTCCAATAAGAACGCGCGGCCAGCAGCAGAACGAAAAAAAATGAATGAAAAAAAAAACAACAACAAAACACAGGCAAAACACAAAAGAAATGAAACAAACAGACACAAACACGAACGCACGACGAATGCACACGAACACACGGCGCCCCGACCTCGGCCGAGTGTGAGTGTGACCAAGAGCAAGAACTAGAGCGAGAGAGAGAGAGAGCGAGAGAGAGAGAGAAAGAGTGTGGGAGCCAGCGAGGCAGCCAACTGCTGCTTAGGCTGTCGCTGCTGCTGCGGCCTCTGCCGCTGCCCTGAACTGCCTCCCCAAAGTGTTTGGCTGCACGTTAAGCGCCCCCCCTCCCTTTTTTTTTTTTTTTCTTCTGTTGCTTTTCACATCATTTTTGTTGTTATTGTTGTTCGCTCATAGGAGCTGAAACGAGCTCATGCCGAGGCCACAGAGGTTACGCAGTCAACGTCGCTGCTGGCGCTGGCGCTGACGCTGGCGTTGTAGCACAGTTTGCAGCGGGGTTGCTAGCTTTTAGGAGCAAACGCAAGTCGAATGGCGCTCTGCGATTTGCTGCCTGGCATCGTTTTGGTGCCGACTGCGACTGACAGCGGCCAGACGGATGGATACCCAGAGACCGAAAATTGACTGGTGCTTGCTTGTAACGTGAGTGAGTGAGGGGGGGGGGGGGGGGTGGGTGGGTTGGTTAAGGGGGACAACACCCACACCTATAGCTGCAGCTGCCTGCGCATGACCACACATACACATGTGTGCGTTTGTGTGTGTGTCTGTGTGTGTGTGTGTGTGCTTAGGGACACGGCATGCGTAGAGGGGGCTAGCTAACTCCCTGGCAAAACGCTCGTTTAGGGGTGGCGTTGCTGTTGCTGCTGTGCGCTGATTCGTCGCTCGATGCAGTCGCAAACGGCTGCAGCTGCAGGTCCGAAGCTGATTGGCTGCTGTGACGCCATTTTGAAAATTGTCTACAATGACAGACGACAGAGAGCGCTGCACTCGATCATTGGCCGGCTGCACAATGCAATGCAAATGCAAAATGTAACGAAGCAGAAAACATGCCAAAACATTGGAAAAATGTGCTTAATTTCCAAGTGAAAACGGAAGTTAGTTGCGTTCAAAAAGAAAATGTAGAAAAACGAAGAACATAAAAATTAAAAGCAGTAAACAATAACTTTGCTTTTTGTGCAAAGGCAGAAGAGCCAGGCGCGATAATTTAAATATAATAAAAGTTGTTGGCCAACAAGGCGTGGGGCCGGCGTTCTGCAGACGTCGCCCAACTTTCTTTGGCCATGTTTTGGGTTAAAAAGTACATTTGCCAAGAATGAAAGTTAACGCGACAGCGTCAACGTCGACGCCGACATCGGCGGCGGCGGCGGCTGGTAAAACTTTTGTTGGCGACTTTTGCGCCGAGTTTTCACAATATTGTTGTTGTCTTCTTTTATTTTACTTTTCTTATATATATTTTTTTTTTCAATTTTGTTTTTGTTTTTGTTGCCAGCGTTTAACACTCGCTTTATTATTGCTTTTGGTTTTTTGGAGTTTAGAGACGTCCTTGAAAAGTGGCCACAACTTAGAAAGCGGCTCAGGTGCCAAAAACTTGCAGACAAAGTCGCAACTTTCGCTGCGCAATCGCGCATGACCAGCAGCTGTTCAAAACAACAACAAACATATACATATATATGGATATAAGATAATTGGCCTAGTTATTTGAGGTTATGTCTGCTGCTGTTGCGGTCACTGTTAGCTGCCGCTGTTAATGTTACTGTTACGATTGCTGTTACTGTTACTGTTAGCGTGTTATGCATATAGCTAATAGAAAATACTCAAAATTTGTTGCGATCAACGAACCTGAGCCTACGTACCCGATCGCTGGTGCTCAGCTGCGATTCCATTGCATTTATATCCGATTTGAGTCGCATCATTTGCGATTCGACGCGTGCATTTTCCCGCTGCAGCTCCGATATTTCCGCTTCCAGTGTATTTAGATCATCGCTGCCGCCGGTCACATTTACATTGGCGCTCGCTGATTTGTCGCTGTTAACGCCAACGCTGCCGCTGCCGCCGCCGACGTTGTTGCTGCTGCTGCTGTTAATGCCAGGCGGCAAGGGTACGCCAACGCCAACGCCAACGCCGACGCCGACGCCGCTCATGACTATGTCCAGGCCGCTGCCGCCTAGTGCAGAAAGAGAAGAAATGCAGAGCAGAGGGTAAAGAAGAGGTGGAAGAGAGTCGTTAGTGTCGGGCGCTCTCTACAGTTTGTCACGTATGCAAAACATGTTCATTGTTCTCTTTGACGTGGAACTAGCTCAATTTGATTTAATTGCAATTCATTTTGATATTATTTCTTTTTATTACAATTATGTTTTTGTTCTATGCTTAACAAAAGCTCTCCACGGTTGTCTATGTGCGCGTGTGCTACTCAATTGGAGCTTTTATGTGAGTGTGAAGTGACGTGACATGACGGTTGTGTGTGTGTGTGTGTGTGTGTGTAAGTGTGTGTGAGAATTTGTGTGTGTGAGATAGCAAATATCACGGCTTACCTTGGTTCGATTCTTTTGCAATTTGCTTGTTAGTTAAATTCATTTGCTTGTGTGACTTGTTGTTGGTATTTTTGTTGTTGTTGTTCTTGTTAGATCACTATTATATTGTATATTTTGTTGGTATTTTTTTTTTAAAGGTTCATGTATTTGATATATATATATAGATATATATACATACAGGTATATATATTTTCTGGTATTTTGCTTTCTGCTTGTCTGTGGTCTATTTTCAGTATATTTTCTTTTGTCTATTTATAGTAGATATTCAGCACCGATACAAAACGTCGCGTAATCTAAAAGAAAACAACGCCAACGAAAAACCATGAAACGAAACGAAAAAGAAGGTAAACGGAATTAAATTAGAATTTAAACGTGGTATATGTATATATCGTGTTTTTATATATCGAGTATTATGTTGTATCGGGCATCGGATTTATGTTATGCACCGGGTTTTACATTTTTTTTTTTTTGTATTTTCTTAATTTTTTTTTTTTTTTTTTTGGCCCGGAACTCTTAATTCTCGTGGCCCTGTCGTCTGTCGTAAGGTCAATTTTGGTATATTTTGGTACGTTTAGGCTCATTGCAGAATATAACAAATGTACGCTTATTTTTTGGTATTTTTTTTTTTATATTTAGCCTGGCATATTCCGAAAAACCGAAACCATAAGCAAAGCCAAAACGGAAAGTATTTTATTGTTTTGTTAGACGTTAGCACACGCACACAAAATTCCAACCGAAAATGTACAATACGAGAGAGCAAAGAGAGCAACAACAAATGCAGACCCGAAAAGTCATCCACAAATGTCAATGAAAACAGCCGAATTCCACTGGCTCCATGCAAAGCTCATAAATGAGCCGCAAAATGTTGACTTGCTTAAAAAAGTACTTGTTTTTTTTTTGTTTTTTTTTTTTTTTAAATATTTGGGTATTTAAAATAAAAATCATTTAAAAAAAAAATGCCACAAATTTATCGATAATTGCCAGGTGTCATCTTTTCTAAGCAAACCAAAAATATAAACCACATTTTAAATGACTTGAATGATGGCCAGTGGAATGTGACTATTCTGCTGCTATTCTTGCACTTATATTCGCAGATTTACAATGACATTTGTGCTGAATTCTTCTGCTTGTGTTGCCAACTTTATGACAATGTTATGATGCCCCAACAATTGTGGGGCATAATAACAATTAGCCCAGTTCATAACAGAAAACACGCAAGAGATTTGTGTAAACAAAAATTGCTCAATAGAGCATAAGAGTAGGCAACAGAGAATGATGGTGAAACAGATAGAGAGAAAGTGACAGAGATAGTGAGAGAGAGGGAGAGAGTGATAGAAAGAGAGAGCGAGAGAGATATATAGTGAGCTAGTTTCTCACTCACACTCACCTGTATAGCCCTTGGGATATACCATGGTAACCTCATCGAACTTTGGTTTCTTGATGCCCTGACTGCCAACTGTGGTGCAGGCTACAAAAGAGAGCAAAAAGAAAGAGAGAGAAAGCAAGAAAACAAGAGTGAAGAGTGAGTTAGCGTAACGTATAGTAGAGATTATAAGCAATGTTAAATGAGTATTTTTGTTGTAGTTGAATACTTTTGAGTAGTATTTTTTACCAGCTTCACATTGAACGAGTACTATTGAGTAGTATTTTTTTTTTAGTTCCTCATTTTATTTTTATAAATGTTTTCAAAGTGAAAAGAGTTTATTGGTCTAAGCTTTGAGTAACGTTAAGTAGTATTTTTTTGACCAATTATTAATTAAAAGAGTACTATTGAGTAGTATTTTTTTTGTTGAAAAATCCTATATTGTTTATTTTTTTAAACGTTCACAATGTGTAAAGAATATATTTTACTACGGTTAAGCTTTGTGTAGTATTTTTTTGGGCAAATTTTGTAGTATTTTTTTCTGAAAGCTTCTAACTTAGTTGTCATAGTGAAAAGAGTCGATTAGACTTCTCTAAATATATCGACATAAGAAACTATTTTTCGCTCAATTGAAATTGGTGTTGAGTAGTTTTGAGTATGGTCAAGTGACACAGATTTGTGGTAATGATTTGTGGTTATGATTAGTTTTGAGCTGTTCAATCGAATCTAGAGTAGTTTTTCTTGTTGTGGTGTAGTAAGTTGCGACTCACCATCAAATTTCATGGCCGTGGCAGCTGCCACAGCGGCCTTGTGCTGTTCCACGGTGCCGCCGGCCTCCAGTACGCGCATCTTGTTGCGATTGGCAATGGGGCAGCCCGATGCACTGCAGCCAAACAGAAGAAATAAGCACAAATTGAAGATGCCAACTTGGTCATTTTGGCAAATTGCTCACCTTCTGTGTGACAGGAATTTGCCAGTAGAATGGCCAGATCCATCGCAGCCGGGTATGGGACAGCGCAGCGGCTCAGAGTCCTGGCCATCGCGCGGCTTGCTCTTCGGTTTGTTGGCGCGCGGACAGCCGGAGAGGCTGCGATGCGATGAGTAGTTGCCAGTCACATGGCCGGAGCCATCGCAGCCGGGCGTCGGGCACTTCAGCTCCTGTGAGTGCGACTGCAGATGGTTGCGGTCAGACCGCGAGCAGCCCGTCAAGCTGAGTTCAGAGAGAGAAAGAGAGAGAGAGAGAGAGAGAGAGAGAGATAGAAAGCGAGGGCGAGAGAAAAGTTACATCACATTAGTGTGGATTAAGGACTGGCCAACGCACTTGAGTACGTGGCCAAGTGGCCGCCGTCAGATAAGACTCGACTCGGCTCAGCTTTGTTTAACACATCTGGCAAACTAGGCCCCAAAAACTTTACATTGCCTTTTAAAGTTTTACCAAATTTGTCCGGCTTTAAATACGTGCTGGGCGCGGAGGTCTGGGAGGCTGGCAAATGAGGCTTAGCTAGTTTGTGGCACAGTTTGAGGATGCGGCTCGCCGGCTTGGGCGGCTTTTATGAGCCCACTGCGTCCACATGGCCATCATCATAAATATTGAAGCTAGTCGGGCACTCACACGCCCGCACAATGCGCCGGGATTGGGTTTTAAATTTTGAGTGGGCACATACCAAATTTAAGGCGACCCGCTCATGTAGACCCTGAGTTCAATGAGGTCATATGCTTGAGTGGTACGCTTCAGTCGGACTTGACAAGGTCAAATTGTATGTTGGACTTAATATGAATAGTTTATAGCTAATTGAATGGAACTAAACAGAATTTACACGCAGCAAAGCTTGAAATATATTTATAATTAATGAAATATAAGAATAGCTAGATACTGCGCTCTTAAGTTTATAATTAGCGCGCAGTTTCATTGGCATTTAGCATTAGCTGTAACCACTGTGCCACGTGCCGGACAGTGACTGCAACTGTGACAGTCACTGCAACTGTGACAGTCACTGTGACTGTGACAGTGACTGTGACAGTGACAGTGAGTGATGAGCAGCTGAATGGCTTGTTGTTAGATGGATGACGGCCGCATCCTGTACGCCAGAGCACTTGTCAGCGTCTCTGCTCAAGGTGTCTTCAATGATAATTGCATTTTACATTAGGCAAGTTGAGTCCTCCCCCCCGCCCCACACACACACACACACGCACACACACACACACACACTCGTAAGTACCTTCGCAGTGCGTACTCACCCATCTTTGGACTTGTCATGCTGCGGTATATGCTGCGGCGGTGGCATCGAGTAGCAGGTGGCCGGACTGGGTGAATAGCCGCCGGATACGGGCGTCGGATAGCCGCCCGGCCCCACGGCCGTTGCGTACGGATTGCTGCATTGATAGGCGGCGGGGCCATAGCCATGGTAGCCAGCTGGTGGATAGTCTGATTGAACTACCATGCCGTAGCCAGGATGCGGTGAATAGCCTGCAATTCAGAGCAGAAGGGTCGCCATCATTCAAGTTGAATTGATTCGAATTTTTGGTTTCAATGAATACCCACCGCTCGGATCTCGATACGTTTCAATGTAGTGCGAGCCGCCGCTGTCCGGCGTGGATTCGCGACTATATGGCCGCGGCCCGCTAATGTGGCCCACCAGGCCAAAGCCGAGGGGACGCGGCGGTCCGCTAAAGTCAACTGGCTCCATTTGTGGTGAACGCGGCGGTCCGTTCGGTCCAATTGAGCCGGGCGCTGCGCTGCCAAAGCCCTGACCGTGGCCCACGACAAGGCCGTCGGCGCCGTACTGCGGGCTCGTGATGATGCTGTCAAATAAATGCGAAAAGTGGATGCCACTTAGTCAAGCAAAACGAATAGATGAGCAAAAGAAATCAAGCTGTTAGTTAGATAGCCAACCGGCACTCTAATGCCAATTCATATAACATATCTAGGCTCTATATATCGATTATAATGAATTTGCCTTGCGTTCTCTTAAATTTGGGCAAAGTCTCATATCAAATTTCGTCGCGCTAGCTCTGAAGAACACTCTCAGTTCAGTAAGGCGTCGGTTCTTTTAAATATGTTACAAATGTTTAGCTTTTCGACTGAGCTTACATTCAGCTCTACAAGTATCTCTATGATAACTTACCAAATGATAAGAAAAAGTGTAATTCCGGCTTAAAAACACGCATAATTTTGTTGCTCTAGTGCTTGGTAATACACCTGCCTCTGCGTTGGAATCATGCAACTGGTCATATAGTTCTATAGTTCTAGAATTTCGCTTTGATAATAAGTTTGCGCTGTTGTATTCCCATTTGCTAACTAGGTAAAGCTATAAAAGGAGTCTAAGAATTAATATACCAAATTTCTTCAGCTTAGCTCTTATAGTCACTGAGTTTCTTGAGGTCGGAACGAAACTCTCTTTGTGATATTTGGCATACATCAATTCCCTATATCAAGTCTATAGCCAATTCACAAAGAGATTCACTGGGCATAGGTCAGAAGTCGTCATACCGAACTTTGGTAGCTAAAGGCGAGTTGCTAGAGATTAGTTTGCACGTTCTTAAATTAATTAAAAACTAAATAGGTATAGAAGTAATTCAAAATAATTAAAAAGTAATTAAACTTAAGTAAAGTAAATGAACTCAATTGCAGCAAAATATACCAAAATTCTTTTGGACAGCTTTGAGGCTTGATAGTGTTGGGTTTGGATGATGATCGTTGTTTCTTGTGATTTTCGGAAGTTGGAGGGCATTTTTGTGTCTTACCTGTGCGGTAAACGTGTGACGCTCAGGTCCAGCGTTTGGCCCTGCGGACTCGGCACTTGGGGGCTGGCTATGTTGGGGCTGGCGCCCGGCTGTGGGCTGCCGTTGCCCATGCGCTGGTTGTATTGGTTGTGCGAGGCTGGCGAGTTGAAACCGTGCGGGCTGGATGACGTCACCGATGTGGCGCCCGATAGGTCAACAGCTGGCGCTGCCACGCCCACATTTGGCGTTGGCGAGCTGCTCTGCTTGCTGTGCTGCTGCTGTTGTTGCTGCTGTTGCTGTTGCTGCTGCTGCTGCTGCTGTTGTTGCTGGTGATGTTGTTGCTGTTGCTGCTGCTGCTGTTGCTGCTGTTGCTGCTGCTGCTGCGCTTGCTGCTGCTGTTGCTGATTCTGATAGGCAGCCGCTGCTGCTGCGGCCTGCGCTGCAGCCATTTTCACGGACAAATTAATGGCGGAAAAGCCTGGCGGCAGCGGACCCATAGTCGGATCATAATGATACATGGGCCGCGGATAGATGGGACCACCTCCATTGGTCAGCTCCTCGTGCTCGGCCTTGGCCATCAGCAGCTGTTGCTCCTGCAGATACTTCTGCTGCTGCGCCTGCAAATCGTCCGCACTCTGCGGCAGATAGTGGTACATATTGGCGGGCGCTGCTGCCGCTGCCACCGCCTGACGCTGACCGCCACCGCTGGGACAGCAATTGGGATCGTAGCGCTCGAAGCCTGCCGTACTGGCTGTTACTGTATCGCCGACGCCAATGCCAACGCCCACGCCCACAGCGAAAACGGGCGTACCGAGCGTTGCGGGCGGATGCGGATGCGTGTGTGGATGCGGATGCGGATGCTCGTAGGCGCTGCGTGCTGTAACCGGCGATAATTCGCTGCTGCTGGGATTGCTTGCCAGCAACTGTTGCTGCTGTTGCTGCTGCTGCTGTTGCTCGGCCGCAGCATCGCTGGCCGCCAGGCCATGTCCATGGCTCTGTGCGTAGCGCATTTGCTCGTATTGCTGCTGGCGTTCATCCGCCTGTTGTTGCTGCTGCTGTTGTTGTTGGTGCTCCGCGTGGTAGCTGGCTGGATCGTTGCCATCGCCGGCACTGGCATTGCCCGCAGGCATCATCTGGCTGGCATTGCCCTCAATGAAGGGTCCGCGCTGCTGATGCATCGTGTGTTGCTGCTGCTGCTGCTGTTGCTGCTGCTGTTGCTGTTGCTGCTGTTGATGGTGGGCGTGTGGATGAGGCTGTGGACTTTGCATGCCCACAAAGCGGCTCAGATGCGGCTCGGTGGGACCATTGCTGGTCGCCACGCTGGCTGCATTGTTGCCGCCTCCATTATTGTTGTTGTTGTTGGTGCTGCGCGCGCTGCCAGCTGGTATCGCGCTGCTGGCCGCCGAGGCGGCATCGTTGGCCAAATATGAGTGCATGGGGCTCTTTGTGTACTCCGATTTAATGCTGGCGACCGGACTGTACTCCGACTTGATAATGGGCATCGTTTTGTTGTTGTTGTTGTTGTTGGTATTATTATTATTATTGTTGTTGCTGTTGTTGCTGTTGCTGCTGTTGTTGTTGTTGTTGTTGTTGATACAGCTGCTGTTGTTGTTGTTCAGATAGTGGCTTGAGGTGATCTTGAGTTTGTCCAGCGGATGCAGTTCCTTCTCATGCTTCTCCAGTTCGCCAGCTGCGCGCCAGCACAAGAGCAAGAGAAACAGGCAGAAGAGTGAGGGAAGACAGTGAGAGAGAGAGAGAAAGAAACAGATAGAGAGAGAGAGAGAGAGAGAGAGAGAGAGAGAGAGAGAGCGAGAGAGGTATAGAGCGGGCGAGCGAGAAAGGGAAAGAGTGTGTGTGAGAGAGAGAGAGAGAGAGAGAGAGAGAGAGAGAGAGAGAGAGAGAGAGAGAGAGAGAGAGAGAGAGAGAGCGGGAGAACGAGAGCGCAAGAAAAGTTGTTTAACGTTATGTGCTTCCAAGTGGTTTTTCTTTTCGTTAATTATTGTTAATATTATTATTTTAATTTGATTTTTTGTTGTGCTATTAGTTTTCGAACAGACAGGCGATCGAACGCACCTGCTGTGGTATCGGTATCGGTATCGCTATCGATATTGCCTATCGGTATCGGTATTGGCAACGCTAACGGCAACGCTATCGGGCTATCGCTCACCGCCTGATAACGCGCTGCGCCCGACCGTCGACTAGCCGAGCGCCGGATCGCTCTCGGGCAGCCGGAGAGGCTGCGGTGCACGCTTCGATGCGGCTGGACGTGGCCCCGTCCGTTGCATCCGGGCGTGGGGCATTTCAGTATCTGTTCGTGCAAGGCCAACACTGTTGTTGTTGTTGTTGTTGTTGTTGTTGGTTGGTTGGTTGGTTGGTTCGTGGTGGTGGTGTAGGAGTAGGGCGTTCCGGTCGGGCCGGATGACCGTTTGGCGGGGGAGCGAGTGAGGGTTGAGTGTCATTAGTTAATTGGCGGTAAGACGCTAAGGTTCTAAGACGCTAAGACAGGCAACCATTAAGCTACGCACACAACTACAAACACACACACACACACACACTGAGAGAGAGCGAGAAAGAGCAGGAAAGAGTAACAGAGAGAGAGAGAGAGAGAGAGAGAGAAAGATAGTGGGAGTCAATGACAAGCTCCTCTATGAACTACAGAACACACACGAGGCAACTCGAATCTACAGAAAACCCTAATCAGCTTAAGAGTCAAGGAAAGAAGAATATATCTAAATAGAGAGAGCCTTGCTCTCCACAAGAAATGGAGGGAGCTTTAAAAAAGTTAAAACTAAGCTTGGAGAGCCAAGCAAGACAGTGATAGCAAATATCTAAGCTTAGTCTTGGCTAGAGAAGCAGAGAACGTGAGAGAGGCAGAGAGCGCTTAAATAGAGCTTTCGGCATTTGACAGCAGTGTAACAGGATGTTAAGCAAAGAGAGTGCTTAAAATGAAGATGAAGTCAATAAAATAAGAGAGCTTAAAGAGAGCATAGATCAAGCTCAACTTCCAGCGAGCATAGACGGGTGACAGCACAGCTTGTAAAAAGCTTGAGTTAAGAAGAGTAAAAGATGAAGCTGTTCTAATGAGAGGAGATAGAGAGAGATAGAGAGAGAGGGAGACAGAGAGAGACTGACAGGCCAGAGAGTCAGAGATAGAGCCAAACGCATAACCAATAGCTAACGGTAAGTCGAACTATCGATAATTATCGATAGTTTTTTAACGTGAGAAGAGAAACAGTTAAATGAAGAAACAGCTGCTTTTGGGGCAAGCTTCGATCTTTTGAAGTCGCATGCAGATCAAAGTGGGAGGAAATAACAAGAAGAGAGAGTATGACTCAAACATACATCCCAAGCAAGCATACACACACACACATACACACACACACACACACACACACACACACACAAACACATACACATAAATAGAATACAACATGCTAGCTACTAGAAGGGTAGAGAAAATGAGAGCATTTAGAAAGGTTGTAAGAGATAGATCAGAGAGAGAGAGAGAGAGAGAGAGAGACAGAAAGGTAAGGTAGTGAGAGAGATAGAGAGAGAGAGAGAAAGAGAGGTCTACATATGTGCTACAAAATACGAAACTTTTGGGCACTTACATTCCGTGGTGACCTTATCGCGTTTCGGACAACCCGACAAACTATGGCCAAGCCAAAAGAAGCGTGTATTGGGTGGAAATTAAAGAAAAAGTACAACAAAGGTGTACAGTTTAGCATGGTTGTAAGTGTTTGGTGTCTGAGTGTCTGTGTGTGTGTGTGTTGTGTGTTGTGTGTTGTGTGTTGTGTATTGTACCTTCGATGATGCGAATATAATCCCGTGACATGTCCGTGGCCAGTGCAATGCGGAGTTGGGCATTTGGCGCCATCTACAAGTAACCAAGTAACAAAATGAAATCAAATCAAGGCAACAACTAGACACACACACACACACACACACTCACACATACACAGACATATGCCTAGCCAAAATGTGAAAGGGTTGAGGGTTCGGTTGAGAGCCAAACAGGTTTTCTAATTAATTATGTGAATGCGTCAAGATGTAGGCATGAGGTTTGGGGGCACAACTTGACATGTGCCTGGCAGGCAGAAGCGAAAAATATTCTAACAAAATTTACAGCTGACAACGCACACGGCGCCAATAAACATGGCAGCAGCAGCAGCAGCAGCAGCAACAACAACAGCAACAACAACAACAATTAAATGGGTAAAAAAAGACAAGCGGCAACAACTACGAAGCGTAACGCATTCTTTTGCCTAAATAATTAATTAAAATTTGATGGAAAACAGCTTTGCATTATTTACTTTAAAAAGCACACACACACACATTCGCACACTCGCACACTCGCACACACATGACAGCAGTTGGTGGTGCGACAGCAGCATAAAAAACAGCAGCCCAAAAATCAGCCAGACCACGTCTAAACTTGGCCTTCTAAGCAAAAATTCTCAAAGATAACGTCACAAACAACAGACAGTACACACACACGAGCACAACATGCCGCACACACGCACACACAGCGCGCATGTTGCTGCTGTAACAGACAGCAGCAGCAGCAGCAACAGCAGCAGCCGCAAAGGCAGGGGCGGCAGGGGCTTAATGAAATATTTTTCGAAATATTTGTGCGCATGTGTGTGTGTGTGTCTATTACGTGGCCGTTCAAAATGTCAAACTGCAAGCTAAAACTCGACTCGACTCGACTCTAATTAGAATTTAATTAAAATAAAGCAAACGTTGTTGCCTGCACTTGCTGCAGTCGCAAAAAGAACTACAGCATACACACTCACACACACTCACACGCACGCACACCCGCTCAGCATAAGGTTAAGCCTAATAAGCCACATTAGCTGGCTGGCTAAAAGGCTGACAACAACAACAATAACAACAACAACAACAACAGAAACAGAAACACGCTAATGACTTATTACGTGCCTTGTATCTTGTATCTCATAGTTTGTATCTTGTATCCGCAAAGACTCTGGCAACTATTTAAAAAGTCATTCAAATTATATGAATACCATAGTGAAAATATGTGCCTGTGTGTGTGTGTGCGTGTGTGTTGTTGTTGTGTTTGGCTTAAAAGCACTTCAACTTGTGCCCTGGCTTTGGGCTTAGAGCTCACAGCATATTAATGCCAGAACATAATGACAAAATAAATATGCAAAAGCGGTTGCCAAAACGTGCCTCATATTTACCCTTTATATCTAATCACACACACCCCCTGTCTGTGTGTGCGCGCGTGTGTCTGTTCAGTTTTTGACAACAAGCTCAATTTTATAAATTGTACAATGCGCTAAAATTAGTGAAAAGGCTAAAACCAAAAGAGGCACTCAACTAACTGTAATTTCTGAGTGTGTGTCTATGTGTGGGTGTGTATGTGTGTGTGTGTGTGTGTGTGTGTGTGTGTGTGTGAGTGCATGCGTGTGTGTCTAGAGCTGAGCGCGTGTCGTGGCTGTGCTTCGTGTTACACAATGCTAATTGACACGAGGTTGCGTTACTTTATACATAGTTATCGAGTAGATGTTGCAAAATTATCGATAAACGATAACAACTGTCAAATGTGTTGCACAATTATCGATAAACAATAACAAACGCCGAATGTGTTGAACAATTATCGATAGACGCTAAGAAATGTCGAATGTGTTGCACAATTATCGATAAACGATAACCTAATGCTTAATGTGATACAAATCGCATTTGTTACAAATTTGCAGCTACTGTCTGTGTATTCTGTTTCGAATCATGTGTGTTGTCCTTAAAGTTTCATTATTTCAAAGTTCGAAATGAACATGCAGTTAAATAATCTGACTTTAGCTGCCAGAGTTGCCATATTAGCTTTGACTGTATTTGAAAAAACGCTTACTTTTGTCAGACACGTTTTACGGTTTTTTTTTAAATAAACGACCAGAGTTGCCATATAAATTTTTTTTTTTTTTTTAAAGCTACAACTTGAATTTCGTAGGAAATTACCAAAAAAGGGCAAATTCTTGACGATGCAAGCAATAAACAAATAAATAAAAATAGCAAAAAATTAAATAAAAAAAAAATAAAAATTTATAAAATATTTCTAAAGTGTTTAAAATGTATGAAAAAGTAACGAAATTTTGTCAAAAACAGTTTTTTTTTGCCCTGAACCCATTAAAAATAGATAAAATGAGGTAATTGTTTTTTTTTTTTTCTCTTTTTACTATCAACTAAGAAAACTGAATACTCACTCAAAATAAATTGAAAGAGTTTTTAATAGGCATACAGAACTCTTTACTTTTCGAAAGAACAAATGAGAAAACTGAAAGAACTGATGTGCTAGCAATACCGAAAGTTCATTCGATTTTCTCTTTCGATTTGTAATAAAAGTAATATTTGAATATATGAATATGAACTCGTTTCAAAGCTGGTTTATTTGCCTCAATCAGTCGATAATCGGAAATTAATTAGTTTTTTTCATTTTATTTTATATATTTTAGTTGTTGCTATTGTTTGAAAAAGTTCTATTAAAAATTTGAATTTATGAAAGTGCAAACCAAATTAAAAATTATTGAAAAACTGAACGTGAAATATTTTGTTTTCTGCTTAAGAAGTTGTTGCTATATATTTATGTTGTTTTTATTTATTTACTTATTCTTTTATGATACAAAAATATAAATCTCTATTAAATCAATAGTTATATTTTCGATAGGTTGTTTTTAAAATATTTTTAAGGTTTAATTATTAATTCTATTGTTTTTGCTTGTGACATTTCGCTGTTAACTTGTTTTCATAATTATGTTGGGCCTTATTTTGGGCAAAATTTCAAACTCGTTATGTCAAGTGTTATGTCATCTCTAAGCTGACGTGTGTGTGCCTATATGTGTGTGTGGTTTTCATAAAGAGGTCTTACAAGCCATTAGTTGCTTTGTCTCAGCAGGAGCACCGCGCCACGCCCACAGCCCTGCCCACCGACTCCAACTGAAGCAGAGCCCAAAACACACGACAAAATCGCTTAATGTCTTTCGGGCTGTGCGTGTGCAGGGCCGGCAATTGGTAGGGGAGTGGGTGGGGGGTGCTAAATGTGCAAATAATAATAACAATGATAGCAATCATAATAGTAATAATACTACTAATAATAATAATAATAACAAAAAGTTGACATATTTATGAAGAGTCTGTTTAAAATATTTGCTGAGCACTTTTTGCCAGCTTCATCAGAAAGTGCTTAAGGTGTGTGTGTGGGTGTGAGTGTTTCTGTGTGTGTGGGTGTGATCATAGTACTCTCTCGCTCTCTCTCTCTTTCTCTCTCTTGCTCTCTCTCTCTCTCTCTCACACACGCTCTCTCTTACTCGCTCGCTTTGTCTGGGTGTATTTTTTTTTTTTTTTTGTAAAGCCAATTTGTAGTCTTAAAACTCAATGCAACAAGAAGTTTCGCACAAACGCAGCCGAATTTATGTTTTAAAAGCAAATGCTAAACGAAACGTGGATTGAAACTGGAACTGGAACTAGAACCGGAGCCGGAACCGGTAGTGCTACCACAGCAGCGTTGCCAGATCAAATGAGTTGTTGATTTTCATTTGTTTGGGTTTTATTACTTTTTACATTGTTTTTTTTTTTTTATTTAGTTTTTTTTTTTCTTTTGATTTGTGTCTAGTAACAACAACGACAACAACTTACCGCGATTCTGGCTGCCCGGCGAGTAGCTGGGCGCCGGCGTAGACGCTGCTGCTGTGGGAGTTACTGCAGCAGTGGCAGTTGCTGCTGGTGTCGTGGAAGTTGCTGCTGCTGCTGCTGCTGCTGCAGACGATGCTGCTACTGACGATGCTGTTGTTGGTGGCGTGGCAACCAGCGAGACACCGACAACGCCCTCACGTGCTATATCCTGCATTACGGATGCGGCCCGACTGCCAACGCCCGCCGGCTGCAATATCGTATACTGTTTGGCATCGACCAGCGGCAGTGGCGCTTCCTTAGACAGCTGCTGCTGCAGCTTGACGCCCTTCTCTGTGGGCGAGCCCAGCTGTGCGGCAATGTCAAAGCTGCGACTCGGCTCCAGGCACAGGCCATGTTGCTGCTGCTGTTGCTGCTGTTGCTGCTGTTGCTGCTGCTGTTGTTGCTGCTGTTGACTGGCAGCAGCTGCAGCTGCATAGCCATAGTAGGCTTCGGCCGCATTGTAGGCGCTGCTCGTGTACTGTGCATGGGCGTAGGCCTGTGCCTGGGCATGGGCGTGCGCCTGGGCCTGTGCATGGGCGTGGGCAGCTGCTGCGGCGGCCAATTGGCCGTTGCGTTTGATAATATCGATGGGCGGCTTGAAGGCGGATGTTGCTTGTGCGTAGGCGGCGGCTGCATCTAGCGTATCCTTTTTGTGTATATTGTTGATGTTGCTGTTGCTGTTGCTGATGTTGCTGTTGCTGATGTTGTTGTTGTTGCTGTTGAGGCGCGCCTGATCGTTCTCCTTTTGTCTGTGGAAACGTAGCAGAAGTGTATGTGAGTTTTGTTGTGTGTGATTGTTGTTGTTGTTGTTGTTGTTGCTGTTGTAGCTGTTGCAATTGCTGCTGACATTGTTGCACGCATACTTTTGCTTCTCCTCGAACAGATTCTGAAATGGCGGCGGATTCTCATCCTCCTGCTCCTGCAAGCGATACAAATTGGTGCGCGCATCGGGCCAGCTGCCGGATAGACTTTTGAGCGCCGCCTGCGTTTCACGTATTAATGTCTCATCATCCTGATCGGCTGCATCCTGCACGGCGGCAACTGTTGCTGTCGCTTTTTGCTGTGTTGCTGCTGTTGCTGTTGCGGCTGCTGCCGGAGGGCTATCGCTGCTGGCGGCTGTTGTTGCTGTTTTGGCCACACCCAGGCTTAGGCTTAGGCCCACCTGGCGCTTCTTTTGTGGCAATGTGTTGTTGTTGTTGTTGCTGGTGTTCGTGTTGCTGTTGGTGTTGTTGTTGTTGTTGTTGTTGTTATTATTGTTGTTGTTGTTGTTATTATTGTTGTTGCTGGCAGCTAATTCATCATCACGACTGCAGCGTTTGCGTCGCTTAATGGCCGTCTCATGCTCATTGTTGTTGTTGCTGTTGTTGTTGCTGTTGTTGTTGTTGTTGTTGTTGCTGTTGCTGTTATTACTGCTGCTCTCCACCAAGGGCGTCTCCTTGCTTAGCGGCCGCTTGGACAGCGCCATTTTTGCCAGTTGCCAGTTGCCAAAATGCCTTAACAACAAATTTTCATGTAAGCTCAAATTGTTTGGTATTTTTTTTCGGTTTTTTTTTTTTTTTTTTTGGTATATTTTAGACGCTAACGCAATTTGTTGTTAGTAATTGTTAATTTCTGTTTACTTACGGCTATATATTAGTTGTTGGCTGCTTTTTGTTTCAGAGGTTGGTTGGAGGGGGCAGGGTGGGGAGCTGGGAAGATATTTTGATGGTTTACTGCATGCAGTTACGGATACATACACTTGCAACACCATGCGGCCCCGACAAGCCTAACAGCAGACTGCTTTACAAATTTCAAGAAGGGAAAAGAAAAACAAATATAAAGAAAAAACGAAACTAACCAAAAAGTTGAACCTAAACTTTATGCATTCATAAGAAAGGGTGATAAGTAGACAAGGCTTTGCCCTTTGCCCACAGCTAGTTTAAGGTTGCTTTGCCGACTACAAGAATGTAGAAAAAATACTAAATAAATGCTAAATATGTCACTATTAACGCACATCAATCATTTGTTTTGATCACATTTTCTTTAAAAATCATTTCCCAATAATATCAAAACTCGGCTTTGGATTCAGTTTCTTACAGCTCAATTAATTTAGCTTATTTCTATTTCTATTTGTATTTTATTCATTTAAATATTTAACTTTCTTTAATACTAAACATGAGACAGAGAATATTTTACAAATAAATATTAAATTAAAAGAAATCCATTTTAAAATTTGTATTAAGTCAGCTCTAAATTTATTGTTAAGCAACATGCTTTACTCAAGTTATTCTTTAGTCAAGTTTTTCTTCAATTAAATTATTCTCGAGTCACGTTTATTTTTACTCAACTTATTCTTTAGTCAAACTTTTCTTTAATCCGGCTAATCTTTATTCTAGTTTTTCTTCAAGTAATTTATTCTTCAGTCAAGTTTTTCTTTAATCAAGCTAATCTTAAGTCAAGTTGTACGTTAATCAATCTACTCTTTATTCAAGTTTTTCTTCAATCAGGTTGTTCTCGCCCAAGTTAAGTTTTTCTTCAAGCAAGTTATTCTTTAGTCAAGTTTTTCTTAAATTAACTTAAGTTTACTAAGAAAATTTAAGTTTCAAAAAGGAAGAATGCAAAAGTTTTACTCATATCTTCGACTTTCTCTGCAAGTATGTTGATCTTCATAAGCTTGGACTATATATATGTATATATATTCAAGTTTACTCGAAGAAACAATAATTAAAATTAACCTGACCATTATGCAAGTTGGAACATCTTTTAAGATCTGCTTTAAAATACCCCGTCAAAATTGTCGTCGTCTTATTTGTTTTTTTTTTTTTTTCGGCTTTAAATTCACATTTGAAATAGCAAAAGCAAACTTTAAAATTAACAAAGTATGAAATTTATAAATATAATAATAAATCAACTCTATATGCTAGTCAATATTTGGTGTTTAGTTTAGTTTAGAATTTAACTTAAGTGTTGTTAAACCTCACAGAGTGTGGCACAATGCGAAGTTTTGCGAAGAATTTGTTACGTGCGCCCTTAAAAGTAGGCAATGGCAAATCTGAGCTTAAACTAGATTTGGTTACAGCCTTCGACTCACAAAAGCTGAAAGATCAATAGATCATTTCTTGTTCTTCTTCTTCAAAAAAAAAAAAAAAGAAACTAGATTACTCAAAATACTGTTTTCAACACTGGTTAACTTATGATTAATATTGTTTGGCAGAGTTGTTAACGAATTTGATGAAAAAGCTTGGTCAAAATAATTTCAATGTGATTATTCTTGTTGCATTGAATTTCTATATGTTAAGTTTTTTTTTTTGTATACTTTTCAATATTTGCTCTTGTTTTTTTTTTTTCAAGTTTGTTATGGTATTGTATGTGGGTGTTAAAAGAAAGAGTTTCTTAAAGTTCTGGGTCTAGAGTTCTAGGCAGAGTATGATTCTTTTTATCTTTAGTTTTAAATTATTTTTTAGAGTTTTTTAAGAGTTTTTTTTTTTTACATTTAGATTTAGAAAATTGAACTTTACCTATTTGATAATTGTGAGATTCGGTTTTTTTTTTGTTTTTGGTATTTTGCTTTTGGTATTATTTTAGTATTTTGCGATTTGTTGCGATTTTTGTTTTGTTTTTATTAACACTTTTGTTGTTTGTCTTTGGTTGGTTGCGTTTATTTATTGTGTGTTGTTGTTGTTGTTGTTGCACTTAGCACGTCACAATTTCGATTGGCTTTGTTGTTGTTGTTGGCGTTGTTGTTGCTGCTGTTGCTGCTGCTGCTGCTGCTGCGGCTGTAGTTGTTGCTGCTTGCCTCTGCTTGGCTGTTGCAGTTGCATGTTTGCCCGCATGCAACACACGCATGCTGCACACGTACACGCACACGCACTAACACACACACACGCGCACAAAAAGACAACAGTAAAAAAAAAAGATAAACAAACGCGTCGCGCTCTTGTTGTTGTTGTTGTTGCACTGCACTGCACGAAATTTGGTGCCTTATGCGAGCTTTTCTGTTGTTTCTATACGATTTAACTTGATTTATTTATTTATGCATGTAGTTTTTGTGTTGCAGCGTTCTGAAAGTTTAGCTGGCCAGGCGACAAAAACTTTTGCGGCAGCCGTGGCGTATACGCAATATCAATTAACGCGCGCACTTTGCTCGACTTTGACTTTGTTTTTGGGGCCGACGTCGACAGCGGCGTCGGCGGCGGCAACGGCAACGGCGACGTTGCTTTAAAATTTATTTTGTTTTGTTGTTTTTTTTTTTTTTTCTCTTCCTTTAATTTGTATTTATTTATGTTTGCTATTATTATATTTTGTTTTGTTTTGTGTTTCTTGTGCTGTTATTCTTTGACTCTTTGGCAAATGCACGCGGGACAGCGTCGCGACCGTGTATGGGTTCAGTTGCTGCGTCGCGAGGTGGAGGTGCAGGGGGGGGGGGGGGGAGGGATAACTTTATTTAGTTGGCCGCGTAGTTTGGCAAAAGTTTGTTTTTAACTTTTGTTGCCGCGCGCAAAGTTTTCTGTTGTTGTTTTTAATACTCTTTCGTAGTTGTTGTTATTGTTGTTGTTGCGCGTGAATTGCAATAAACTGGCGAGCGGCGTTTTCTTTTGGCGGCGTGAAGTCCGGACGTCCAAAAACCGACTGCTGGATGCGTTTGGGGTAATAAAATTTTACATCGGCAGCGGCCCGTCACACACACGTTAGCGCCGCAGTCGGCGTCGACGCAGCGTCACAAGCGAACGCATCGATGGATGGGCGGGGGCGGAGACGGGATCGGGTGCGGGTGCGGGTGCGGCAGCTCGTCATTCGGCAAACGACGCACGACGACACGCAAAACTTCGTAATGTCGCGTAGTTGTTGTTGTTGTTGTTGTTGCTGTTGCTGCTGCTTCCTATTCTGCTTTAACTACAGCCAACTGCCTAGTGCTGCTTCTTCTTGCTGCTCAGGAGGAAGCCCGAAAACGTGCGTCTCTACCTGTACTAAGTTCGCTGCTAACTGACAGTTTTCCAAAGTTGTCGAACTTTCGAACGCAATGAAAATTGCAGCCAAAAATTTGCTGTCGCAGCCAGCGTCAGCGTCAGCGTCGACGTCGACGCACACACACACACACACACACACACACACACACACAGGGCGAACTATGCGGCAGCTATTTTTCGGAGTAAACACGACGGCAGCGACATCGCACGGCTTCGTTTCGAGTTCGGTTTTTGAGTTCGCCACGGGCACTGCCTTCCCCAGTTGGGCGTTTAGGACAGTTTGGCGCGACTGTTATACGCGCTCGTGTGCTTAGCACAGCGCCGGCGCAGTACATCTGACGTCGTCGCTGACGTCGGCAGCGCTGTGCGTTAGCGCCCGTGTGCGCGCGTGTGTGTGTGTGTTGCTTAGTGTTATCCGAAAAAAGAGGCAGCACAACTGGCAGCGCATTCCTGCAGCCGCCCTCAGCGCTGATTTGCTTTTTATCTATCGCACGCTAATTGTAAATTCCAGCAGCGTCAGCGACTGCTTTTGCTCGACCGCTGCTGCTGCTGTTGCCGTCGCTGCTGCTGCTATTGCTGCTGCTGCCCGCAAATGAGTTTATCCCGTTGTCGAGCGCAGCCCGCAGACGCGTGCGATGCGCAGTCCGCAGCGACGGTAGCTCCGCAGCTGGATTGGCAGGCGGATTTGCAGATTTCTCGATCACTCATTTAAATTCAAATTCAAATTCCGATTTCGATTCAGATTCATGCCAAGCTGGCGGCGCTCCTTATCAGCTGCCCAGCTGCCGCTGCCGCTGCCGCTGCCGCTGCTGGCGTCTCATTAGTGACGCAGCTATGTGATTTGGCGGCTGCGTTCTGAGTCAGCGGCAGCCGCGGCGCAAAGTGCAACCAAAGCTTGCCACGATCGTTTTGTTGTTACGCATTCCAACAACATGTTTGTTTGTTTGCTTGTTTGTTTTTTTTTTCTCTATCTGGTTCTCCTGAACTAGTTCGCAGTTCGGTACTTTTGACTAAGTTCAAATGAACTAGTTATTATATACATATGTATATATATGTTTTTTTTTTTTTTTTTTTGGAAAGTTCGCTCAAAGTTTTGCTAACCAATTTTCCATAGTTCGCGGCATAATTTGCAAGTGTTTCAAACAAACTTTCTAGACATTTTAGCATAGACTACAACAACAACAACAAAATTATGTATATATATATATATATATGTATATATGTATATTGTTTTAATGGTTCTTTTTTTAAGGTTATGTGCGTAGTTTATCGATTTTGGTCTTAACTTTCTCGCAGTTCACATTTGCTCCATAAAAAGTTTGGCGTCAAAACTTCAAGAAATTTAAATTTCATTAAATTTGTGAAATACCCTTGAGACATATTCGTGTTACCTTTAAAATATTGTCATAAAATAGATTGTAGTTTTTTTTCAAGTTTATTTTATTTCCAGTTGTGTTTAAAGCCAAACTTGAATAAATTAAAATTTTATTTCAAGTAAAATACTCTTTAACATTTGATTATTCTAATTGATTTCATGTTAAGCGCTTTTCGTGCAAGCTAATCAAAAGTTTCCAGTTAAGGCTAAGAGAAATTTTAGTTTTGAGAACAAAGTTTAAATCGCTTCTCAATATATTTAAGTGCTCGAGTTTAAGTCGCAAATCTGAATATTACACAGAATTATTTTAACTTCAAGCTAATGCTTAACTTGTAGTTAAAGTTAACATCATAAATTTCAATTATGTATAGCTGCAATTCCTTCAAGGAACATTAACTGTAACAGAACTGTTTTATCCAAGCATATCGAACAAAATAAATACCCTTCTTGAATGTTGTGTAAATTGGCTAGCTAAAACGTCGAGGTTGCGGGTTCGAATCTGCCCGAAAGCTATTAAAATATAGTTAACCCAACTCTATATAACTTATCTAAGCTGGCTTATCTAACTGAGCCCTTTATTCAAGCATAAAGAGGAAGGACGCAGGTTCAAATCGTGCTTGCCTGCATACATATGTCTACAGAAATATCTTAGACGAATGCTAATTCGCCAGAAGCCGTGCTTTATATAATTATATAAAGTACCGAACAGTTATCACAACTTTTTAAAGTTATAAGCTAACAATTTTGCTTAGACTATATAATTTCCATATCCTGGCAAGATATAGAAAATGCCGCCTGAAAGCCACAATCAAAACAAAACTGAATATAACTGTCAAAGTGAGAGCATGAAAATGTTTTAATTAATGAGAATCGCATAGTAAGGCGTTACTATTTAAAAAATCCCCTTGACCCCGACAAGATTCAGTCTTTTCATTTTAAGCCTCAATTCCACCCATATTCCGCTCGTTAAGCTCGCTCTTCTTCTATTTTTACCTATTTGCAGCTATCAAAGTGGATTTTTGTTGTAAACTAGTTTTACTCAAATCATGAATCTTATAATATACGTGCACAATATGACTGGGGAGTGGAAAATCTTTCGTATTGAAGAGACGAGCTGTTAATTTGAGGCTACTTTCTGTGTTGGAGAAACCACATACCAAGTTTTGTACATATAACTCTTGGGATCTTCGAGCTATGTCTAAAAACTCGAGTGCCAAGATCGATATTTATCGAAAAATGATGAAATGTTAATGGACGCGTTCATAGAAATGGAAAATCGGGCAAAATACGTCGTGCAGGAACATTAATATCTACATATATTAAATGGGCTTGGAAAAGATTTCCCTCTGTCTGTTACATACAATTGAAATGGAAGATTATTCAATTTTTTCCAGAATATAAAAAAGGTTTCATTGTTGGCCAAAAGGCTTTAAATACCGTTCAGAAGAAGCCCTCAGGCTTCGAATTCTGACGAAGCCTGACTAGGTCATGCTGAAAACTCATTCCAGCGAGCACTTGGTAAGTTCTTTTATTTGCTTTCGGTATAGTTGCAATTAAAAATGGTTCTGGTTCTTTTGAACTAGTTGCTAGGTGAACCGATTCGCGGCTGTGGCTGGTTGGCAAAGTCTGAACTTGCGATTCGCAACGTTTGGCTGTGCGCTGGGCCGTAATTAAAATAATTAAATGCGAAAAAAAGTAATCACAAGATTGAAAAGTAATTTACACATGTAAGCAAACACCACGAATACACATGCACAAACACATACACACACACACACGCATGCAGCTTATACAAATAGAAGGATAAACAAAGCCCGCAGGATACGCCGAGGAGCTCGACTGCGGCTGGGTTCAAAGAAAAAAGCTCAGTGCAAGAAAATTGCCAAGGCAAATGGAAAAGTCAACATGACGACGGCGCAAGGATCAGCATGCGAAACGCATCAGCAGCCGTTAACAGAGGGAGGGGGGGGGGGGGGGGTGGTAGTGGATGGTTAGAGAGGAGGCGGGGTATTGCGTGGGGATTAGCAAGTGGAAGTTTTGGTGCCGCAAAAACGCAAATGATTTCTCTTATTTCGACAACGTTCGTCTTGGCCTCCACTAAAGATTCCAAAAAAGGGTAACAGCTGAGGCGTGCTGGGCGTGGCAAGGGGAGGGAAACTTGGGGGCGGTGGCTATAGGCGAGCCGTGACAGGCTCTGCTGCCCAACCGCTGCGACGGCGACTGCAAGAAACCAGAAAGAAACAGGATAGAAAATTGC